ACACTGCCTAGGTTTTTTATGAAATGAGAAATGTAGGGCAAGCATTATGAAATGTGTTTCATTCCCTCCCATAGTTGTTTCATATCTATTTTATTCCTTCCCTATACTTTTTCATAACTATTTCTTTTTTACCTGGCCATTTATTTCATTGCCCCTCAGTCCCATTTCTTTCCTGTTTCTTTGTTGCCTAGCCTTTCATTTCATTGCCTCCCCAGGGTTATTTCTTTCCTACCCAGCAATTTCTTATTGCTGCCTAGCTATTTCATTTCATGTTTGCCTGGTAATGGTTTCATTCTTTTATTTCATTCTTGCTAGGGCAATACATATTTAATTAATTATATGAAATAACATGGCTTTAATTGTCAAATGAGTATGATATTTGTTATGCTTGCTAGTAGAGGGTGTGGGCCCCATTTCTACATAACTTTCAATTTGAGACCATAATATGATAAGGGTGCAAAGGGATAAGCAAGGTAAAGACATTTTACAAGGCATCACATGTATTACATAATCAAGTCCCAGGAAGATATTTACAACTATGAAATGAAATAGCTAGGCAACAATAAGAAATTACTGGGTAGGAAAGAAATAATCCTGGGGAAGCAATGAAATTGCTCATTGGGTAGGAAAGAAATAAATGAAATGAATGGCCAGGTAGAAAAGAAATAGGTATGAAAAAGTATAGAGAAGGAATGAGATAGATATGAAACACTATGGGAGGGAATGAAACACATTTCATAATGCTTGCCCTACATTTCTCATTTCATAAAAAACCTGGGCAGTGTCCAAAAAGTTGTGCAGGCACTTGCCCAAATTTTATCATAAAAGTGGTAGGTACCACTCGCTTCACCTGCAGTATGGGTAAGACGACCTGCACATATGCAGTAACCAAGAAAAAGGACACCGACAGTGAGGTCGAATACGAGATCCAAAAGGGGTTGCAGGATCTTGAAACGGCCACAGTCTCCAGGGGAGATGCCCAAGTGAAGATCGTGAGGAAGAAAGCAAGGTCAAAGAAGCCGCAGGTGAAGAAGGTGAAGCCGGATGTCAAAGAGAAGGGCAAGCAGGATGTCGAAATGGCCGCAGTCGGGCATGATGTGGAGCATGCCATTGACGTGGACATGGAGGTTGGTCTGACAATGGGAAAGGGGAAGTCCAAGGGTGGTATCGACATAGAGATGGCCGAAGTCAAACATGAGGAAACCGAGGTCGGTGCCATTCCAAAAGCCGACAAAGATGTGGGCCGGGTGACTCCCACCATAATCATTGAGCCACCCACACCACACACATCGGCGATTTTCAAGAGTACTGAGACCGAGGTCGGTACCAACACTGACAAAGGAAAGGGCCGGGAGATTGGGCCGCCAGCCAGTGAGATGGAGTGGATCGTGCCCGAGTTAGCAATGCGGCCGGGTAAAAAATTCATGAAACTCGTTATTCTTTGCTGACTTCGTTTATAGAATTGGGCTTGGCTGTCAATTATATCCAACAAAGCTTTACACCCCCACCTGTTGAGCGCACGTCCTGGCCAGAAGGTTCGCGTTCGGTATCTCATTCTCGGCAGGTCAGCCCACCAGATCCCAAGGAGGTTCATCGTAAGTTTCAAGTTGTTTTCTCATTTCCCATGATTCTCAACTTGAAAACTTAGTTGACATGGCGCTCTATCAGAAGAAGATTGACTTTAGGTCCTTGAGCCCCCCACCGAACTTCGACATGCAGACGATGCAGCAGGAGATCAGAAGACTTGCTCATGGCCAAGCCGACCTCCTGCAGAAACTCCGAGACCAACAAGCGCAAGTCAGTGTCATGGAGTCGTCTACCCCTACTATGCGAGAGTATTCAGCATTTGTGGTCCGAAAACAAGATATTGACGCAAGTGCCCTTCTCCCCCCGGCGGTTGACTCACCCGTGACCCTGTCACAACGTCTTTTGGTGCTCGAAGAGATTACCCGGTTTATTCAAGATCAAGATTTGGCTAGCCGTCCTCTGTCGGAGAAAATTGCAAGTCTAGAGACCTCCGTTTGGTTTCAGGAAGAAAAAATCACCGGAGCGACTCGCCGGATGGACCGTATTGAAGAGTCTGCCCACATGCGTTGGAAGGAAACACAAGAAGATTTGCAGTCCATCCGAAGTGATCACCAGAGACTGGAAGCCGAGGTGAGGGAAGCTGTCAAGACACTGGAGAACAAGTGGGAGACTACGCCAGCTGCGTTACAAGAGAGTCTCACCCGAGGCTTTGAGAAACTTGCAAGCCGCATCGAAACTGCCGAGCTAATGCTCCACGACCTCACCAAATCAGTCACTACTATTTCGGAGCTCAACCTGTGGCTCGGTGCTCGCCAATCAAGTCTGGAATCGCTCATTATCCAGTTCCTCGGCAACAAGGAGAAGAAGCACACTGGCATCAATACCGATCGCTCAGTCTCACCCGACCGCAGTCAGAAAAGCCAGCAGGTACAAGTCTCCCCGACCCCGGGTGTCGTTCTGCCAAACCCAGTTTCAACCAATCACGCGCAAGTCTCTCCAACCCCGGCCGTCTTTCTGCCTCCAGCATCTGAGAGCCCAGCGGTCCTTCTGTTGGCGCCAAACCCAATTCCTCCAACCTGGGCAAGTTTGCCTGGTCCTTACATTGGGGGTAATAGGAAGTCACCTCAGCTACAGAAACTCGAACCCACACTTCAAACCCCAGCACAGAGTAAGTCTTCTACTTGGTGAGGATTCAAAAATCTGACTGCCAGCAAGTTACAAACAATGATGTCCAAACTGTCCAAACTCCGTCTACTTAATAGTTAGTAGCATACATGTATATTTTTTGGACAATCTTCAATTTTTTTTTGGGCATATTTAATATGAAGTCCTGTGGTGGACATAATAATGAAAGCAGTAAGGCCTCGGCTTCTTTCACGACCCAGTAAACTGTGACCGGCAGAGAAAAGCGGGGGGATCTTGGAGCAACTTTGTCCAATGGAGACCGGCATAGTAACAGCTTGGCGTTTATTTCAGGCAGCCGAGTGCGGTTGTTTGAGCCAGACCCGTTCCAACATGGGTATGTTTACAAGAAACATTGGTTGGCATAAACTTGGTAGGGATTTTGAACCAGGGGTGTGCATAATATATCTCACTGCCTTGTGAACGTCACCATGCTCAGCTTCTTGGGAAGTCATGGACCCAGTAAACTGCATGACCGAATACTGGACCATGACCGGCAAAGAAAAGCCGAGGTAATGTTTGAGCAACTTGGCAAATAAAACCTGAGTGAAGACGAAACTCGGCCGTATAGTGTCAACTGGATGGGACCAGGTTGGGCTGATCCACACTGCATGGGATTCAAAGCTCTTCAGCAGACCCATGACACATGAGCCCATTCCATGAAGAGACGGGTTGACCCAGGATCCAAGGCATATTTAATTCATGGGGTACTAGCTGACTGACCATGTCACCGTGCTTGGCTTCTTGGTAGGTGATGGACCCGACCCAGTAAACTGCATGATGACCGGCAATGAAAAGCCGAGGTAAACTTGGCAAATAAAAATGAGATGGCTGTGGGCTGATCCACAATGCATGGGATTTAGAGCTCTTCAGCTGACCCATGACACATGTTGAGCCCAATCCATGAAGAGATCGGTTGACCCAGGATCCAAGGCATTTTTAGCTATGTCAATTCATGGGGTACACTTCTCAGCCGATGCACAGTACCAGTCCTAAGAGAGTCTTGATGGCCGGTCCACCTTTGATGGGGTCAACTGATCCATGGGCTCATCAGCAGGCACCATCAACTATGGTCTGTTTGTATGGTCGGGGGGCTCAGTATTAGTGGGGTAAGGTAAGTAATACTTGTGGCCTCTGAGGAATACGAAGTCGAAGCTATTTTAGGCCATCGAAAAGTCGGGAAGAAAAAAGCTAATCGTCCGATGTTCCTCGTCCGATGGAAAGGTTATGGACCAGCTGACGACTCATGGGTCACAGAATACGACCTACAAAACTTGGCTTTGCTCAAGAGGAACTATCTTGAGAGTAAAGGCCTTCCGATTTGAGGAATTCTCGCTCTATGGACCCAATATTTCCAATAAATACATAAAATTCTTATTTTAATAATAGTACTATACAGTCAACTTAAACTCTGACCAAACTCCGACATTCGCCCTATAAACTCAAAACCTACTGAATCACCTTGTTCCCGCCTAGTCGTCTGACTTCATACGTCCCGCTGCTTTTGAGCGCAACTGCATACGAAGTTACTCTACGATGACCGGTCGACCTAGGCATGTCCAGGGACCCAACAAACACGATACTAGAAGTTACACCCCCCAGAGACTGCCCAGTTTCTTGGGTTATGATCGACTACCTCTTTTACCTCCTCCTCCTTCCTACTACCTACCACCATCCGTTCACACCCGATATGTCGCTATGAACGGGAGACTCTGGGAAGTAACCTCCCCGAATTCCCTGCTTAATGCCTTCTGTCCTGGATTGCGACCTATTAATCTGAATCTACGTGTCGATCATTTCAAGGAGGAGCATCGACGATACGACGGGCACATGGGGCCTTTCGACCCCACCGTAAACGCACAATTATGCTACCCAGGGAAGGAATGGAGGCCCTTAATCATCTCACCCACTGCGGGAAATCCACGCGAAAGTCCCGAGTACGAGACATTGCTCAATTGCTGGAAAAGCGACGGAGCACCCGCCTTCGACACCGGAAGTGTAATCAATGGATATATTGATAACCTAATTCTGATAAATCAAGAAACAGAGAAGTGGATGGAAGCTCTCTACCACGTCCACGTAGATTACTTTTCATTCGAACCAATCCATGCTGCTCTATGGAACCCTAGTGTTCGTCCCACCGTGCCCTCCTCTGAATATGTTGATACCCTACGACGACATAAACAGTTCTCCTTGTTCGTCGACTTCACCGTTGAAGCCCAGCGTGGCATTAAAGACAAACGAGTGTTCGTTGATTATGTGTCACGACTCACCCAGACGCTGACGTAGCAATGGCCAATGATCGCTATGTTGGGACTTGGTTAAATGGGATGGACGAACGGACAGCGAGATGGTACCTAAAGGAGGGAATACCATGTTTTATAGTGAGGGAAATCTCCTCTCGTGAGCGCGCTAAACTCACTGCTCTAGAGACGATGATCGACTTCGCTGCTGGATCCAGCGCATCTTCGATTCATTGGAACGTGAACAAATACGATACTCTGGCAATAGAGCAGGGAGATTTGTTGATCACAGACACTACTCGGTCTTTTGACCCCGGATGGATCTGGCCTGCCGTAAGGACTGACAACGAGGAGTTGAAGCGTCCGAAGGAAGTAGTCAATTACGAGCCCCCTCCGCTGACCACGATAGTTGTCGATGCTGACAGGATTCCATGGATCAAACCTCCCCCTGTACAGAAAGCAGAACAATCTCTCCCTGGGGTTCCGTCACATGAACGTAAGAAATGGCGGAAGTTCGTCGAGCAGCACCATCCAGAGAACACCTTCCTTGAGACTTCCCCCAAAAGGAATCCGGACTACATGACATATACCAGATTTGATAGAGAGCGACGATGGCAGATCTTATTCTTGAAACCACTGAAAGCTCCCCCTGGTTGCGTTTCGGACATTGATATTTTTGGTCAGCCATGTCCTGACGGAACCTACAAGGACATGGCTCAGAAGCGAAAACGAGTAGGACGTCCTGCTTGGATTTACAACCGAATGGATCCCAAGACCAATGACTTAAGGAAGGAAGCTCCTGTCCCCAGACCAGAGGACCTTCCCCTCATTCACGGACCTCCTCTTCCTGCGCCTGGCAGCAATGGCAACGATGACGATGACGACGACTGGTACTACCCCAATCTTGACTTCGGTGCTCCTGTAGTCCCCAGTGCTCCGGCAGCCCTGAACCTACCACATGGCGCCCCGCTGCCCTTCGGCGCGAACATTGCCTTCATGTGGTCCCCATCAGGGAACACACTGAGTCCCGTATTACTACAAGGTAACGGTACAGTCCTGCCCTACCAGATGCCCCTCTCTGGACCTACTCCAAGCGCACTCCTGCCCTGGCCAGTTGCCGTGGCCTTACCTGTGTCGAGTACTGACCCTGCCCCCTCCATTCCCGAGCCATTCACGTCTGCCTCCGCTGCGATCTCAGATGACGTGCAGCCTGCCCTCATGTCCAGAATGTCCAACAGTCTCGCTGCTAGAATGCGCGATCCAGTTCCTTCTATTCCCTTATCATCTCGTCTTTCGGATCTGTGTGATTTATCCTCTCAACTATCCGACGCCCCTGGGGTTTCACTAGCCGATAGATTAGAGGTCCCGGATCCATGGACGTGGAACTCCCTTCGTCTTTTGTTCCCATGACAGTGGATGATCCACATTTGGCGGCTGTCAGCAACATGATGGCAAACGCCGGACCATTAGTGTTGGATCCCGTGCAGTATGACAACCCTTGGAGGCCTGGTGACGCTGTCGACGAGGACGAGGTGGAAGACGAACCCATGGAAGGAGTCACGTGGAAAAAGACTAAACAAGGAAGGCGATCGGGGCAGAAGATCCAAGACATTCGACGGAGGGATGAAGAAAGGGAGGAATGCAGGAAGCGTAAGCAAAGGCGGTTCTGAAGCTCGTCTCCGAAGTTTTCGACGATGCTCCACTCTCATGGGGGGGCTTTGTAATGGCGTACGGGTACCCTCACCTCTTGCATGTTAATTGAAGCATCGTATTTACCTTTGTTTGTTACATATTATATAATGTCGCGTACACGTTGTAGCACCTTACCTTTTTGCCACTACATCTATATAATATGTGGATTGGGTCACGGTTATGGATGATGGCTAGGCAGCCTTATGCCTCCCCTCCAGGATACCAGAGCCCGGCGTCAGGTGACAGCGCCCCCGATCCGGGGTCACAGGATAACTTAGGTGCTCTTCCGCCATGCGGAACAATGCCACCAACTCTATTCCCAATCGAGCCTTCTAACTCCGCCTCCTGCTCCGTACACTCATGGACTCCTCAAGAAGTCCAGGACGACACTGCGGTTTCACACATTCCAACACATTGTCATTTCATTGCTGTGCCTCTCCCCACCTCTTCCCCAGACTCAAGGATGAGTCGGACGTCAGGGATGACTTTCAGGCACCTGTTTTTTGGACATCAGACGATGAGCCTGCTCTTGGCTTCCACGGTTCAATTGTTACACCCCTTCATTCTGCAAAGCCAAGCACACGAACAGAAGAAGCACTGTGCCAAAGTTATCCAGCACTGCCCATCTCTAGTCACAGCTCCCCCTTGTCAGCTCAACCTCCTCCTCCAGCACAACCTTGTCTTACCCATGCAAGCGCCGTGCCAAAGTTACCCAACGCCGCCCATCTCTAGTCACAGCCGCCCTTGTCAGCTCAACCTCCTTGTCTGGCATGACTTCCTCTTCCCCATGCCATTTCTTCTCCCCCTTCCCCACCCTCTCCAATCATAAGGTCACCCCTCACTGTTTTGCCCTTCTCAATACATGTTACTTATTCCCGCTTGACACAGGGTCAGCCTAGCTGCCAGCTCACTGCATCATCTGTGGAACACGTTGCAGTCATCCTCTGTCACGCAACAATTCAGGTCACCTACAGAGGGTGGTCACATCTCTAACCCACATGCACGAAGTTGGAGGTGTAGGATTACAAGGAGTGCAAAAAGAATGAAGATTGGGTCATTTTCTGGTTCTTTCTAAGAATCCATTGTACCTCAAATGTATTTGTGTATTCTTTTACATTACGTAGTTGTGTTACACTTCCCTTGGTATGGACTAATTTCAGTGAAAGCTGGAGCCTTGAGAAGGTTTCTATTCTGGAGGCCATTTTTGGCATCTGAAAAAAAAAAAATATGCACTTATGGGAAGGTAGCCAGAACATACCTCTGGTCAACCTGAATGAGCCTATCAAAGAATCAGC